AAAAGCAGACATTCAAGTGTTTTTTCATGTAGAAGCTGAGCAATTTTAGTGACTTAAACCAATCCCAGAAGTATCTAGTTCCTGAGTATTCCAAAGGAATTGTTAATCACTTGCATTTCCTATTTTTAAAGGGATGTCATCATAAATCACCTTATCAGGTTCCCCTTTGGTCCCTCCACTGAGCTCCTCTTGCTGTGGAGGAGCAGCACATGGACCTGTGTTCACAGTTCTGGGTCTGGGAAAGTCCAACCTGGTTTGGGGCACTGGGGTTTGAACCTGATGCCTGTTGAAAACCCAAGGTCCTCCCAAACCACTCCAGAGTTCAGCCAGTTTTCTCTTAAGCCTCCAAAATCTAAAGAAACACCAACCAACTATCTCATACAAGCAAATGCTGTAGCAATTCTATAAACTTCCACTGTTTCATTTGGGAAATTCAGCTCCTTTCTGAGCTGAAAAGATGTTTAATCTTCCAAATTCCTTTTGTGTCTATGCTCCTGTTTCTACAAAACTACTGATTCATCTTATTCAGTGGATATGTGAATCTTATTCCTTCACTCCATCCCTCATGCAACTCAGCTGGGAAAAGAAATGTGCATTAATCCAGAATTTTTGGGGGTATCTGATAAACCCAAAATCTCGGGCAAAACAAAACACTGTTCAATTTAAAGACAGATTTCCAATAAAAACTATTTCCCTGAGCATTCTGCTAAAGGAGCAGCAAATGTGATGCTGAGAGCCCAGTGCCTGCCCTTCTCTCATCCAGAATTGATCAGTGCAGGGCTTTGTGCACTCCCAGCTCTAAATGCACACACTCAAACCTTTCAGTGCTTACAATTTGGCAGCGACTCTTTCTATCCCTACTGAAAAATTCAGAGGTTTTCTTCAGTCTAATTAAAACCAACAATTCAACACAACACTGATTTTTTAAAATGCAGTTACCAGAAATGGGCTGTACTGCCTGTGATTCTGTTCTATGAAATATTTGGTTGAACTCAAGGTAAAATCAAATACAGTATTTTGATCTTAAGGAATATAATCCACCGTGAAGATAATTCACCCCTGGCATGTTCTTTTCAAACTAATTTTGTATCATTTAGAAACCAAAAACACTGACTTTCAGGAAATCATTTGGAATTAATTGTGAAGTTTCAGCCATACTACAGACCAAGGATTTCAAAAATATGCCAGCATATACTCCTAAAACACAGGAATTTCTAATTCTAGAAAGAGTGCTGAGTATTCTTTGAATGTCAGTGTTTTTATACCACAGCTCAGTGTATTATATTTTAGTAAGACAAAAACTGTTGTGGCTGAATAATTCCAAGGAATTATGCAAACACTGGAAGGGTGTTGCACTGGGCAGCCACCACTAACACAGCCCTACTGCTCCTTAGAGGATGTGGGTTTTTCCCAGCAAGGCTGGAATTAGGCAGCACTGCAGACAACAAAGAACCCTTTGGTTGTTCCCTTAAGCTCAGAACACATCTCTCAAACCAAAGCTGAGGCTGTTTGGGCTTTCAAGTGCAAACCTATGATTTTCTTGTTTGATTTGGCACCGCTCGTAACCAGAATCCAGCTGCTCCTGGTATTTATTTATTCTGTGATACTTCACTTTGTTTCTTGGCTTCACAAAACAGTCCCCAAAAGCTCTGGAAGGAACAGGAGCTGGAGCAGTGACAGTGGCTGTGACCACCCCGTCAGCAGCTGGGTGACATGTGGCTTGCACAGACCACTGAAAGGCAGTGGTGTTGCAAACTAGCCAGTAATAAATGTTCTTTTTCAGTAAATACAAAGCCTAGAAAAACACTTTTCCATATTCCTTGGCTTTCTTTTCCTTTCTGAATGCCTGGCTTTGCCCATGAAGTGCCTACTCTAATGGAACAGCATCTGTCCATCACACTGTGGAGCCCAAAGGAAGGAAGTGTTGATGTTGGGCAATTACACAGCAGTGCAACAGGATGCTGCTTTCACCACCTCCTGACAAATACAAACAGGCACAAATTTATGTCACTGGAGGCCTTTCAAAACACTATTTTTAGAAGGCACTTACAATTTTTTGCCTAAAGTTACACGAGGCTTGAATTTTCCAAACCGTACCGTCCTCAGTGTCCAGGAAGAGTTTATGTCCTGTCATAAATTCAGGTCTCAAAATTGCAAGCTAATAAAGCTGCACAAGCTTGGAAAAGGTTTGCAATTCCCCTCTCTGTGTAAGTGGGACATATAGTTACACTAAAGTTAACTAAAGTTCCACTAAAGGCAACAGGGATTAGAGAGGTGATATGTTACAATTAGTAATGACCTAGGGTGTGACATACACTGCTGCATTATGTTGTTATATTACTATATAACTACTTTTATCTTTCAACCTCTTTTCTGAACTAATCTGCCTTAATTAAAGCAGTATTTTCCTAGCATTTATCCCAAATCTTCCCAAGCAAACACCCCACCACAGAAGTCAGGCAGTACCTTCATTTCTATACAAACAACACACGTTTCAGTGCAAGAAAAGAGGCAACTGCAGATGGAAACATGTTCAGCTGCTTGGCAGGGCAGGAAGTTAAGGAGCATTTTAACAATGCAACAGCCTTCACTGGTCATGTCAGACAAAGACTGACAACTCCATGATGGGTGTTTATTTGGGATGACACAATTGAGTGCTGTTCAACCTCTTACCTGTCCTGAGGTAACTCAAAGAATTCAAATGGCACTGAGAGAAGTTCGAGGGTAAACACAAAGAAAAAAATATTTTATGTGTATTTGGTGGTTTAAATGTGATATAAAACCAGAGCACAAGTGTGAATTGCTATCCCACCTGCAGGTCCCTCACGTTGGGAAAGGGGATCCCGATGGTCACCACGGCCCGGGCGTTCTCGTCGCAGAAGTCCAGCCCCTCACTGACCTTGCCCCTGCACACAGCGATGAGCAGAGCTCCATCTGCAACCATTCCCAAGGAAAAAATGAGGATCAGAAGGAAGTTTCACCAAAATCCTTTATACAGTTACACCCCATATAGTGTAACACCCTGTGTATCAGCCCGGGAAAAGTGAGCAGATATAAAAGCAGATATTTCTTAGAGGGACAGGATTAACTCCCCCTTGATCAATAATTTTGACTGTCAACTAGCAAAATAATTTTACACTGTATAACAGAGTATTTTACACTGTATAATAGAGTACTTTTACACTATATAACAGAGTGGTGATTAATTATGCAAGAACAATATGTATCTCCAACAAAAGTTGATGTGTTAAACCTTGAATTTTGCACTCCGTTTTTTTCCACGCTGTTATTCTTTATTCTCTATACTAACATTGAAGTATTTTGAGAAAAAATCCTGTAGTGGCTGGAATATAAGGTTAATTAATACAAGACTGGTTGATTTAAATCCCAGTTATACAATGTACTGTAAGTGATTCTTTGGGAAGTCACTCTGCACCCCCTGGCAACACCTGCACACCTTTCCACACCTCACTGGGATTATACATCCCCCTGTACTTCCCTATATCCCCAATATCCTCATGCCACAATATAAATAGCACTGAATATAAATACTCTCCCTTATTTATAATAACTTACTAAACTGAAGTTCATATAACTACTTATCCAGAGTTGCTTCTAATTGTTAAGCACTTACAGAATCCCCTTATTCTTTAAACTTGCAGAGTCTCTATCAGCTATTTGTATGGCTGAAGAATGTACCTTTTTCCCCTTTACACTTTATTGCATCATAGTATAAGTTCAGCAGCTCATCAAAGTCACTCTTTGCCCCTCCCTGAGGCTCTGCAATCACTGTCTTCACCAGCTCCAGGTTTTTCCACAAGCCAGTGTGAATCCAGCGATCCTTGAGCTTGTCCAGCATCTGAAAACAAACACAAAAATCCACACCAATCACTTCAACTGTTCCAATAAAGCCCTTTATTTTAGTGAAGCTCCACTATTCAGCTTTTGTATTTGTAAATACAAGTTGCCCTGCCATGCACCAAACTCAGCCATGCAGCACTTGGCAAACATGGTGGCCACTCATTTTGCTAATTAAAAATTATGCAGATTTTTGTTATCAAAGCAAAACTCTCTAAATCTGTAAGAGTGGACACTAAAGAGCATCTCCTGGTATTCCTCAAAGCAGGGGAATGTCAACCACATAAAAAGGGAAATCACCTGTTTTTCTGATTACCAAGTAAGAGATCCATCAGGAAGGCTGGAAACAAATTCTAAATTACTTTGAAACAACTCTTTCTATCTTAAATTTCCAGAACACTTCAACAGTTTAAAATTTACACAGTGAGGAAATATTGATGTAGGATTTACCAACAGCCTCCTCTGCTTCTTGAAGTTCTGAACTGTGCACATTTCACCCCAAACCAGAACATACTCAAATCTGGCAGGCAAATGAGCTGGTTCCACATTTAATTGAACTCCTCCATCTGAAACCTGCACTTGCCCCAGTTCATGCCTCAAAAAGCCACAGCATCCCTTAACTCCAGCCCTCTTGCCTTTCCAGTGCACTCCAGCCAAGATCTTGGGATTTGGAATGGTTAAACTGTTACAAGATTAATCTGTCCCATCACCAAACACACAGTTTAAGTGCTACAGTAGAGCAGAATTAATTGTAACTAATTGTTGTCATATTTGGGTTTAAAGAGAGAACACTTGCAAATTTATAGGACACTGGTGACAAGACCCTTTCCATATTTCACCTCCTCAGCATTAAAGACCTGAACTCATTCTCTCACACTGAGTATTTGGATTGGTTCCTTCTGAGGAACACGAGGGGACAAATATTATGTTATTGCTGCATTTCCCTGGCTTTGTTCCAGCCTCTGCTCAGGGAACTACACCTGCTTTACTCCTGAGGTGACCCCATCAGCAAGCACAGCAGGAGTAAGTGCTGAGCAGTGGGAACAGCTTCCTACACCCAGAATGGAACTGCAGAATAAATCATCTCTGCTAAACGTGTCTCTCCTCCTGTTTGTCCCCTTCTCCACCAGCTCTGTCATTTCCTGGCAGATCCTGCCTGTAATCCCTTTTTCTCTAACAGCTTGTAATCCTATGACAGAGCAATGACTGTCCATCTTCCAGCCCAGGCTGCCACCGTGGCCTCAGTTCTTGGATGTGACACGGAGAGAATTCTGGGAAAGAAAGAAATCAAACATATTATGGCTCCAAGTACATCCATTTGGGACATTATTAGCCTTCCAGATTTCATTCTTCCCCCTGTGAAACTGGTGCACCCCCTCAGCAATCCATGTTAAACCCACTCCTGGTACTGCCTGCCATGGATGCAGAAGGAGCCCAGGAAGAGAAGGCAGACAGGAGATATCTGGGTGTAACCGAATTCCACATTTCCAGACACAAAACTATCCCTGCTTCGACTTCTAAGGGTCCCTCATCCCTGATTTTCTCCTCTTCAATCATCACACCCACTGCAACCCACAGGTATTTCTCACAAACACACCCCTGTGCTCTTGGCAGAAAAACTGGTGCTTAATTTAAGGGCACCAAAATCCGCTGACAGTCTCTGAAAGGGTAAGATTCCTTACAAAAAACCCTCCATTTCTCTCATATTTCAAAGAATTATAACTTCTGTTCATAGCTGCAAAGATGGCAGGAGAAAACCTTCCTCCAAATTCTTAGGGAAACATCTTTTCTCTTCCATGGGTCACCCAGCCCCTCCAGGCTGGGACCACAGTAGGTTCAGGTTGGTTTAATTGACACGAGCATCCCAACAGAAAATCTCCCATTTTTGATGGAAATAAGTGAATTTTTCATGAAAATCTTCAGCAAGTTCATTTAATTCACACACCAGCTATTACCTCTTCCATTAATGGGGTTTGCTGGGGATGGAAACTTTCTTGGAGGCAGGAAAAGTATCCACAAACACACAGTGCCCATGGTATGGACAGGCACTAAAACAACAGGAATTATGGACCTGACTGAATACAAATAAATAAAATATAGAACACACAACACGCCTCGTCCGAGCCAGGAATCAAGGGCAGGTTTCTCATAAAAAATTATTTCACTTTGGCTTGAAAAAGTGCAAATGGGAGCAAGATATAATGCCAGGAATCACAGGAAGCAACCATTAATGCCCCCAGCCAGTCACTTCTTCTACCCAAGGGAATAATAGTCCCTGCAGTGGAAGGCAGGCTGTGTATATTTTATTAAATCCCTTAAAAATGGATTCTCAAATGGTTTATTAACAAATGGTCTTCCTCCAGGAGAGCAGAAAATCTTGTTAGAAAGAATCTGTCATCTTCCCAGGCACTGAAGGATGGTTCCTGGGATAGCTTTTTCTCTTTAATTCCTTGCTGCAGTTTAAAGACACCTGGAAGCCACTATCCAGAAAAATCAGGAGCTCAGGATTTAGATTTGCCATCCATCTATGTCAGCATCCCCCTATGGAAGCAGTTTGGGAAGTATTCCTGAAGTTTGGGAGGGGGGGAAGGTGTTTTCCCACCATCTTTTGCCATTTTGCACCTGCCACTGAATTTCTTTACACAAAATATTCCTTAACTATTCCCAGGCTGAGTCACATAATGAATGGATTGCACCTTGCCAGCAGAGGAAAAAGGTATCACAGAAATAATCCCTCCATCTAAAGGGCTTGGGGAAGCAACAAAAACCTTGAAAGTATGAAAGGATGTTCTAGAGAAATATAGAATATAACAGATAATGACCCAAGCAGTGCCTGACAGCAGAGTAAAAGAACTCTGGCTTTATTGGTTAGTTATTAACAGCTATTAACTACTGATGATAATTATCAGTTACAGTTGCACTGCATGTGCCTGTATACCTTTAAAACTCTGTGTTGCCTTGTTATCCACTCATTTATACAATCACTGAACAAAAAGTATTTTAAGGTGAACAAAAATTCCACAAGTATCTCATAACCCTTTAAAAATCTACCATTATACACTAAAAATCTACCATTATACACTAAAAATCTACTATTAAACACTAAAAATTTACCATTATACACTAAAAATCTACCACTATACACTAAAAAACCCACTCCTCCAAACTTGCCTGGTTTTTCATCTTGTTTCTATGTGATGATAGGAAGTTCCACTTTTTCATTGTTATTCAAATATTCAGGTAGTTGAGCAGAGAAAGGCAGCAGCCATTAGGTTTTCCCTAATAAAAATCAGAGTATTGGCACCACGGTTAGTGCAAAAAGTCAGGGATCCCCCGGGGAGCACCATTGATCTAAAAGCCTTTTCCCAGGCAGCTCTTGCTGTGTTTGCTCCCAGAATTTTCTCTGTGAATAAGCACTGCTGCAAATCCAAGTGTGTCTCCAGCGGGCTGGAAACGTGTTTGAAGGGTCAGGCAGAAGTTCCACAGGCAGCACAAAACTTTAAGGATGGAAAAGAGGAATCCAGGGAGGGACAGGATGGGCACTGGAGTCCCTCCAGCAGAACCTGGTTCAGGAATCTGCTCCCTGTGGGAATAAAAGGGAGGCAGTGGCACAAAACAGGGTTATCACGCAACAGTGTATAATGGCAGATTTTTAGTGTGTAATGGCAGATTTTTAGTGTGTAATGGCAGATTTTTAGTGTATAATGGTAGATTTTTAGTGTGTAATGGTAGATTTTTAGTGTGCAATGGTAGATTTTTAGTGTGTAATGGTAGATTTTTAGTGTGTAATGGTAGATTTTTAGTATATAATGGCAGATTTTTAGTGTATAATGGTAGATTTTTAGTGTGTAATGGCAGATTTTTAGTGTATAACGGTAGATTTTTAGTGTGCAATGGTAGATTTTTAGTGTATAACGGTAGATTTTTAGTGTGCAATGGTAGATTTTTAGTGTATAATGGTAGATTTTTAGTGTGCAATGGTAGATTTTTAGTGTGCAATGGTAGATTTTTAGAGGGTTACGAGATATTTGTGGAAGTTTTGTTCACCTTGAAATCCCTTTTGTTCAGTTATTGTATAAATGAGTGGATAACAAGGCAACCCAGAGTTTTAAAGGTATACAGGCACATACAGTGCAACTGTAACTGATAATTATCATCAATAGTTAATAGCTGTTAATAACTAACCAATAAAGCCAGAGTTCTTTTACTCTGCTGGGTCATTATCTGTTATATTCTATATTTCTCTAGAACATCCTTTCATACTTTCAAGGTTTTTGTTGCCTCCCCAAGCCCTTTAGATGGAGGGATTATTTCTGTGATACCTTTTTACCCTGCTGGCAAGGTGCAATCCATTCATTATGTGACAGTTCTCTGAACTCAAAGCTTTGCCAAGCCTTGGTATGAAATGACCTGGAATCCTACAGGCAACTGAACTCCAGGACCATTGGAACTCCTCACTTTGGGGAAAAACAGGACTTTACAAAGCCAATATTTATTTATTAGCACTAATTTCACACTAGTTATTTAGCACTAATTTATTCCATTTCCACCTTTAGTTAAAAAACCCCAATCAAACAAATCCAAAAGCCAAGATGGGAAGTGCCACAAAACCACACAGTGCTGTTCTAACCACAGACTCCAACAGCATCTTTAAGTATCAATTAATTAATTAATGCACCAAAATTCTCCACTCACACGAACTGCAGTGAGGAGAAGGTGGTGGCAGTTTTAGACACAGCTAAAATCTCATAATATAAATATTTTCCCTTTAACTTCAAGGCTGTGTGACATGGTAGCGTGGTTTGGGGTTTATAAATGAAATATAGAAATATGGACACAACTTAAGATCATTTCCAGCTATGGTTTGTAAAACCTGGGCAGACTGGCCTGGGCTGAATCCCTACAACTCATGGTATTGGAAATACAGGGTATTTCCAGGGAAATCTGGGAAGTCAGGGTTAGGGTTTAGGGAATCTGGACTGAACTAGAACACTACAGAAATGTAGGAACTTCCAACATGGAACGAAGCTCCAGCCCATGGGCAGGAACACAGTTTCACACCCACAAACCAAACTCCTCACGTTATTCCCCAGCACAGATTGGGGAAATTTCTACTGAACAGCTCCTTTTCCCAGGGAATTTGGAGCTGCCTGACAGATTTCTTCCTTTCCAGCTCTGCAATCCCAACCCATGTTTGGGAAGAAGCTGCAGGGGGATGTGTTGCACCCAGCTGGGCCTCTCTGCACACAGGAGCAGCAGGGATTGGAATAGAATTCCCTTCCCCCATACTGAGTCTTGTGTCTGGAAAACCCCTCTCACACTGGGGTGAGTTGTGGACTCAGGAATTGGAGTTTTAGGGGTCTCAAACCACCACAATCCCATTCAGGAGAACTGATTGAACTGTGCTCTCCCAGTCCTGTCACAACCTCACAGTGGGAGAAAGGCCAGAAATTCCCCTTCCATTCACAATCAACCCCAAAGTAAGGAAAATGTATCCAAAGGCAATTCCATCTGCCCAGAAACTCCAGCCAGGAGGAGGAACAAAGCTAAAACATTCTCCTTCAAATGAAGCAACAAAACTTTTTCCAGCACATGGTGCTCTAGTTTTAAAACTAGTGATTCTTCTACTCCCATCTGAGCCATAAATTGCTGAAAGTGGAAAGGTATCCCTGCATATTTTAAACATTTATACCTTTCCAAAGTAGGTAACACTCAATGTCTTACCAGCATTTCAATAACAAACCATAAAATAGAATAAATACATCTTAAAGATAGACCATGGGAGGGGCAAATCTGATGAATATTGTAATTTAGTAACCAAAAAAATCCCTCGAGATAACACTCCAAACATCTGCCAGTAAACTTTAACAGTGTTAAATCACTTTTGCTCTTTGTAAAATCTTTTAATTGAAGTTTGTCTATGTGCACAAACCAAAGCCTTCCACACACACACACCCTGGAGCTCACCAGCAGCATCAGGATGTTGGAAGCAGCTCTTTCTTCAAGTTTTATACCAGCTGGAAATACAATTTACACCTTCTTCAGTATCAGAAGACATTAATTTCTGTATCTTTGCTCTCCTCCTCCTCCACTGATCTCCTCAACTCTGTTTTGCTTCACAACAGAGCAGCTCAGCCCTCAGCGAGAGCTTTTATCTTATCAGAGCAGAGGAGGCGGCCGAGGAGTGCAGAGACCAAACATTTCATCAAACCAAAACATTTTATCAAACGTTTTTGCTTCCAGGCAGTGACAGAAAAATAACAGGTGTCAAAACCAAACAAAGAAGAGGCTTTTTTTTTTTTTTTTTCTCTCTGCCACTCCTGAAAACCCTGGAATTCAGAGACAGTGGCGAGAAGAAACGCAGTTTTGTCTCACTCCAAAGTGTTTCCCACCATTTGGGCTGTCTGCAAAAAAAGGAGTGCAGGTTGTTTTACATCAGCTCGACCTGTATCTGCATCAGGTTGCAGATCTGTCTCAGTAAAACTTCAAGCTAAAAACACAAAGCCCTGCACACTCTGCCAGGCCCTTCTGAGGCTGCAGGACATCACATTTTCCACTCCAGTAATCCCATGATCTCAGGGCACAGATGTTTTTCTAATGGCTCCAATTCCACAGGTATTGCATTACCTTTCATGAGCTTCCAGGAGGAGATTTGCTGAGTCAGCTGGAAGGCTCCAGCTGGAATTTTTTGTTCCAAGCCCCTCTCCCCCCCTGGTCTCACAGCTCCAGCCTGCTCAGGATGAGGGAGAATTCCCTGGGTGAATGTTCTGCTTCTATTAGGAGAGGATGAAACTGTCTCTGCCTTAGTGATAATCCTAAAATATATTCAGTCATTAAATAAATGCACTTGGTATGTGCTGATTAAACACAGTGGCCTTAAATTCAGGTTATTTCAAAAGAACCCTGGGGAGTTGATCTGGCCAGACTTCACCCATTTTTTGGAATTATAGGCTCCTATTAAATGAACTTCTTCAAGGACTAAGATGGTTTGGAAAAGCACAGAATTAGCAGAAGTTATTTGACAGTTCTCTGTAAAAGCTTTGCCAAGCCTTGGTATGAAATGACCTGGAATCCTACAGGTAACTGAACTCCAGGACCATTGGAACTCCTCACCTTGGGAAAAACAGGACTTTACAAAGCCAATATTTATTTATTAGCACTAATTTAATGCTATTTATTTAGCACTAATTTATTCCATTTCCACCTTGAGTTAAAAAAACCCAACCAAACAAACCCAAAAGTCAACAACAGAAATAACAAAAAAAGAAAGTGCTTTGAGGTTTCAAGTGAACAGAAAGGGAACAACAGAAGGAAGAAAGTGAACAGAGGAAAAAAAAAGGGAATAAAAGAATGAAGGGACAAGGAAAAACTGCCTGGAAGCATTGCTATGAAAGGAAAAAGCTGAGTTTCCTTCCAAAAATAGGAGGGAAAATATTTCGGCTAACTAAGCAATAAAATCCAATGTCCATTAGCCAAATCTTTCAAATAAATTTGGAACAGCACTCCAGAACTATTAAAAAAATCACACTGTAAAAAGCACAACATCCCTTAACGAGAGTAAAAGGTCACAGGGATGAAAAGCAAGCAAGGAAACCCAATCACATTTATCAACCTCACCAAAATCATTCCACCCTTTGAGAAGCACTGACAGAACCTGCACCTTTGGGCCACGAGTCATGTCTCAAATTGGCAGAAATAATTTACATTTCTCACGGTTTTTTTCCTTCCTAATCAACCCCTACATTTTATTTCTAAAGGTCATTTTAATCATGTTCCTCACCAAAAAAAAAA